ACTTACCTCGAAAAAGGGTTCGTGTTTTGTGTGCCATCTGCCGAAGAAAAATTACCAAAAACTAGTTAGCAAAAATCTACTTTAAAGACTGGAATCTATGCTAATATTCTTCCCTCTCCTGAATGGCGTGAACAATCAGAAATCTTTCGGGTGGGGGGGCGTTGTTTTTTGCTTATGTGAACAGATTTGATTTGATTTTCTGAGCATGGTGGACGAACACGCGTTTTTGTTGGTGAGAAGTGAAGGTTCGATGTGTGACCCCATTTTGTCGTTTCTACGTTGCCTGTTGAACAGTTACGACATACTATCGTTTGAACTGTGATTTGGCTACAAATGTTGCGGTTGAGAGACAAAAGAAATCTATTGCTGACGTTTATTGCTACTATAAGTTTACAGTTTCTTTTTTTTTTTTTACAACTACAGTAATTGATATGTCCCGCAAAGGGATATATTTGATCGAAGTAGCTAAGTGGTTTTGGCTACTATAACCAAGTAGTGCACGGTAGCAGTAATCGACTGGTACTCGTCGTAGTCGCAGGTAATAGGTGTAGACCAATAGAATAGCCAATGGCGTAGTCCAATGGGCATCGTTATAGACTTAAACTCTGTCGTACCTACACGTCCGTCTGTATTTATGACGGACACTAGCCAATCATATTCCAGTGAGGGGGATCTCAGGTGTATGCATATTCCATTATATCAGTAATATATGTAGTGTGCCCAGGACATACCAGGGTCTGTCTATTTGTCTGACAGGCTTCGGGAAGTGTTAGTCTGTCTTTCAGTAGTGTATTCTCCTTTAAAATAAACCTGTCTTTCTTCCATCTACACCCGTGTTGCTGTTCCTTTCACTTGAGTACCACCTTTGTCTGTTTGTAACCTTTTTAAGGATACAACATTTACTCATATAGATAGAAACCTGAAGAAGGCACAACGGCCGAAGCGTCGTGATAATACTAACAAAGATGCAGTGACGTGCAGAGGTTTGGTGATGTTTGTTGATGCCCAGGGCCAACTCCTTGATTGTACACCCCTAAGACTCAAGTAGGGGTGACTATAATGCCCAGTACGGAGAAATGTGAGAAAGGAAGATATTTTAAATCTCATGAAATAAACACTTTATTCAAATAAATATAAACTAATTTTTTATTTCACTCTTTGATTGGCTGCCCTCCTGATATGGATGCTCGGGCCGTAGCAACATCTGCGCTCCCTACTGCAAAGATAGGGACATTATTTCTGTTGTAACCTAGGGAAGGTTACTGAATAGAATAATCAAACGAAGGTTGGTAATGAACGATAATACTTAGAACAAGAACAACACATATAAGATAATAATATAATGCTTCTCCTTAGAAATTCGAATAAGATTACAATCAGTGGTTAATTGGAGCAGGAAATGGCTTGTATATTTTAATGCCTCCAAAACGAAACTGCTCTCACTTAAACTTATCTGCTCACCATCGGCATAGCTGATGCTAGAATCCTGGAGAGCAAAATACTTCGCCTTCTTGGCCTCACGGTTTTAACTGATTTGAAATGGAACGACTTCATCGAATCAATATCAGCATCTACTGCAAAGAAAGTTAAGTCACTGTGTCGTGCCAGAAGTTTTTTTTCTTGTCAGAGTCCATCTTGCACATTTACAAATCTACCATTCGTCCGTACATTGATTAGTGCTGCCATATCTAGTTTGGGGCTCCTTCTATTCATCTCGAGGTTTTTGTCAAAATTCAAAGAAGGATCTGCAATATAATCGATCCTGACTTGGCATCTCGACTTCAGTCACTTTCTCACCGACGTGACGTGGCTTCTTGAAGCCCTTTCGTCTTTTATCCTTTCTTCAATCCCCACTATACCCAGTCTTTTTTCTCACTTTCACTCTCTGTAACCCCCCTGCGTACTAGCGGCATTCCCACTTTGCTCCTTTGGGGGTGGGTGGGTGAAATGATTAATAATAATAATACTCTCATTAGATACAAACAAAAAAGATAATAGCGTTTGAGGAATATAATAAGGAATATCCGGTTACATTTAATTGACAGTCACTGGTTAGCCATCGTAGCCTGATCGGCAAAGTTCAAGGAGAAAGAAAATCATCACCCACTTTTACCAAACAGTAGGAATTAGGTAATGATTCGCTCTCTCATTGCTCTGAAATATTTTTTGTAGAAATAAAATAAGTTTTGATTAACTTAAGACATTTTCTACTTATTTGTAGCTTTCCTCTCTTTGTCATAATAATTAATATCGACTATAAAATCATTTATTACGATCGCTTTGGGACAGAGTTTGACACTACATAAATAGGCTAGTCCAATCATAAAAAGTAGGGAAATCTTTTTTCGGGGAAAATCTTTGTAGATAGCATTCGTTAGAGTTTCCCCAATGCTCGATATTCGTCAGAATCGAAAAAATGTATTTTTTTTTATCGGTTTATAAGAGGATTCATCTTCATAATGTCTATACAGTGTAAAATCGATCCATGACTTTTTACAGAGTTATCTGAACTTCGTTGTTATTTACAAAAGCCAAGTTTGAAACTGCTTATATCATTGATATCTGCAGATATATTTTCTTAATTTTCTGAAGTTTTAAAACATTTTGAAATCTTTAAAAAATTGGAGAAGGGACTTGATTTTTTCGGGAGCACAATTGTTTCATAAATTAAGAGTAAACATTTATATACTTTTATTTATTTATATAAATTTATTATGTTTAATTAAAAATGCATATATCCATTCTTTATTTGAAATAATTCTTTCTGTAAAAAAAGTATGTTTTCGTACGCAGATCAGCTTAATACTGATAACTCTATAAAAAGTCGGGGATCGATTTTATACTTTGTCCTTATTATGAACAGGATCCCTCAATATTTTTCCATTCTAACAAATGTCACACTTTGAGGTAGGTCAAATGAATGCTAATCTTAAAAAAAAAAAAAAAAAAACCCAGCCCAAATTTTTGTTCACCATGTTTGCTGTAGTTTCTGAATATGGAATCCAGTGAAGTTCATAATCTCTTCAATATCAGAGTTTGGCAGTGAAGATCCAGAGAAAGTAGTGGCTGTTAAGTAATTCTTTAAGTCTTCGATATCAGGTTGGCAGTGAGGATAATTTGGGAGAAAAAACAAAATGGCTGCCTTTATACACGTCGCATTGAATATTTTGAGCTTTCTGATTGGTTAACCCTTCAATTGATTGATGATATAAAAGAAAAGTTTTAAAAACTGGAACAATAACATTCATTGTTATAACCAATGTCGCATCATAAAATTTGTATTTTTAAATTCAATTTAATGTAATTTTAAATTCATTTTAAATTGTTTAGGATTGCCTTTAATAACAATAACCGTTTGATAACATTATTCGTGATTACAATCAACGACAACAATGCTTAAATTTCATAACATCTTTTATTTTCTCGGTATGTCTGAGGAAGACCTTGTAAATTAGATTAACATTTGAAATGTTAAAAGTAATTAATGCATTTCAATAAGACAAATTGCGAAAATGACATTTTTGTTATTAAAAAAAAAAAAGAAAATGTATTTTTTCTTTTCCGTTTCTAGTATATAGTTAATACACTTTGGTCGAAATACCATCCTTGATATAAATAAACTACATCAGACAGTAAAGCCTCTGACTGGGAGGTTTTAAGGAGCGTGTAACCACCTCTTAATTGCTGTTGTTCTCAGGCCCATCCTCATCCGGGGTGGTTGCACCTGTTAGGGTCCCAGCTATGGGCAAATAGTTAACCCCCAAACTGGGATCAAAACACTATAAAAGTATAAAGAAGTTTATAGTAAAAATACCAGAAATTCATTTCCATAGTAAATACATTTCCAGCAATACATTTTTGTAAAAGAAATTACTAATTTCACCAAGAAAATTAAATTTCGTCATTAAATGACCCATAAGGATGTTGATATACCGAAAAACAAACATACCCTGCCGAAATAAACCAGCCAGAAACAATTGCTTCATATAATTACTGTCAATACTATTTCCATATATGGTTTGGTGCCCCTGATGTTCATCTCGAGGTTCTCGACAAAATCCAAAGATGGATCTGCAATGTGATCAGTCCTGACTTGGTATCCTGTCTTCATCACTCTATGTGGCTTCCCTCTGTCTTTTCTATAAATATTTTCATGGCAACTGCTCTAACGAGATATTTTTCCTGGTGCCCCGTCTGCATGAATTTAAGCGTGCTACTAGGTTGGCATTCAGGTCTTACCCTTTTACTGTTGAAACAGTTAAATATAACCGCATCTTCTACTCCAACAGCTTCTCGCACTTCCCGACAGTAGAACTTCCTTCCTCTTACTTGCTTCCCTGACAACTACAATCACCAGAAATTCAAATGTGTCGTCAATGGTCATCTTCCAATGATCTCCATTCTTCTTTTTATCCTTAATAACCCCCGATACCCAGTCTTTTCACTCTCTGTAACTCCTTGAGTACCAGTAGCACTCTCGCCTTGCTTGGAGTGAAATACTTAAAAAAAAAATGTGTTGATACGCGGTAATTAGTGAGTGGGTAATGATGCTGTTCATTGCACTGAATGTTTTCGATTTTACGAATATAGTATACTCGTCAATACTTGTACAGCCTCACGACGTTAATGTTGCTGTTATGGTTTCGGGGTATGGGATGGAGTGGCCAGAGCCACGATTTTGAATTGGTTTCTTCCCAATGTTAGATCGCTATTTAAGAAGAAAAGCATTTGGGCAAAAGTAAACGGAACGAGTTCGGTCGCAATTTTGCACTCGACATTCCGAATCCACTCGCAACGCTTATAACCCTTAAAATTACGAGCACATCGGACGAATAACAAAATACTTAAATGTGATATTCCTTCTTCTATGGAAAGATACCCACCACCGACTAATTTGTAACTTCATCTCCTTGCTTTTAGAACTTACTTTAGTGTTACATTTACTTGGAGAATGCTATAAATTTCTTCAAAAATAATTCCCGAGTCAAGGTGTAAAATAGTTCTACAATTACATCTATCTATCTATCTATCTATCTATCTATCTATCTATCTATCTATCTATCTATCTATCTATCCCAATCTGTTCTTATCTATCTATCTATCTATCTATCTATCTATCTATCTATCTATCTATCTATCTATCTATCTATCCCAGTCTGTTCATATCTATCTATCTATCTATCTATCTATAGATAGATAGATAGATTGTAAGTTTTTATCACCACCGAGTTGTTAGAATTCTCACCTGTCACGATGAATGATTGCGCTCTCAAAGAGGTTCCTTGGTTTGAGCATCCATTGGGACTCAGGTTCACCCAGGCCTCAAGTGGATCTCATATATGTTATCTATCAGTGAAGACGCTGGAAAAATAGTCAGCTTCTTATATCGTTCAAGAAAGTAACTGACTCCTCCTGCCCTGATACATCTTTACAAGAGTCAAAACAAACCAAAAAAATGAAGCAATGCCACCATATTTGGGCTGGAGCTGTTCAATTCTCACTTTTCACCTTCGACATTTAAAAAAGAGTTTACACCGTCTTGTAGAAGATTAATTATTTTCAACCCTACAACCCCCCATCCTATGGATGCAACATTGCAAGCTTATTATTAGAAATCGATTTTATTATTTCATAGAGTTTATTGGAAAAATCTATGAATATTAAATAAAATAAAAGGTAGATTTACTAAAAAAATATTTGCTTATAAAAGATGTCTTTAGAAATAATTAAAACTTAATCTACAGACGATCTCAGTGTAAAAATGGCAACTCTTGCTTTCTCACAATTTTGGGGGAAGGAAAAAAGAAAAAAAAAAAAAAAAAGAAAAAGGAGAAAAGAAATAAACAAATGTTGCATACTTTTTCCTCCTGCTACATAAAACTAAAAAAAAAGAAAATCGGTTTGTTTATACATTTTGGGTGATGATTTACATCGCGCAGAAATTAAATTTGTCTTTTCTTTTATTCTCTTGTGGGGAAGGTCCAATAAATGCCAAATTATAAGAAGAGCATTTTTGAACATGTTTTTTTTTTGATAGCCAGCAAGATTTAAGAGGATAGCAGTTATAAAAATAAAAGAATATTGCGGGAAAAAAAAACAAAAAAAAAAAAACAGGCGAATTCACGGACAAGACAAACCTGTTTCCCAGATTTGAAAAGGCAGACGAGATTTAGCCAATTTCGATTCTTTCCATCCAACGCACAGAGAAGATCGTCAACAAGAGACAAACCGTATACAGGGTTCCCCGACTTACGTCGGAGATACGTTTCTACGGAACTCGCCTACATAATCATCCACGATTCTGCCTTACGATTGAGAGCCATAAGGAAAGGCAAAAAAGCCCTCTATAAAAAGGAAACGACAAGAGACAGCGAATGTCGCACTATCCAATATGGCGTACAGCCGGTGAAGAAACAACGACGTCTTCCTCATATAACGCAGCATTATATTGGAAATGGCACGTAACGACGAAAAGCCATACGTCGAATCTGACGTAACCCGAGTACCTTCTGCATATATATATATATAGAGTCCAAAATATATATAATATATATATATATATATATATATATATATATATATATATATATAATGGACTCTCCTATTTCGACGTATGAGAGTCAATCGGCTCAGTTTTTAGAACCAACAGCCAGACTATCCGCACATATTATTTGATTATAGTGGTGAAGGTTTGTGCAGAACTAATCACACTTTTTGGAAGATCCAAATACAGAGAAATTGTGAACAAAGATCCCCAAAAGAACCTCCGCAAATTTTGAATTCAGAGTTGCTTTTCTCTTAGACCGGTTGCCACCCAAGGCTATAGAACCCAGTCTGTCCTGTTACTTACTCATAGCTGGGGTGGGGGAAGAGATGGATTAATACCTTTCCCAAATGTATTAGCATGTAACTGAATGTAATGACGTATCATATTAAGAGACGAACCGTATACAGGGTTCCTCGGCTTACGTCGGAAATACATTTCTACGGAACTCGCCTACATAAGCATCCACGATTCTGCCTTACTATTCAGACCCATAATGAAAGGCAAAAAGTCCTCCATAAAAACGAAACAACAAGAGATAGCGAATGTAGCACAATTCAATATGGCGTACAGCCGGTGAAGAAACAGCGCCGCGTGATGACGTATCATATTATAGGAGATGGCGCCGTAACTACGAAACGCCGTACGTCGGGTCCGACGTAATCCGAGGACCTTCTGTATTCGAAGTAAATATATTCGGTTCATTAAGAACCTGAATTAAAATTGTCTTTAATTTAGATTATCCTTTTATTAAGGGCGAATCGGCTTATGCAAGCCATGTAATAATTTTGGTATAATATTGTAAGGTATACTATTTACATTATTGTCCTCATCTTTGTCGCCATATTTATTACAACGTTTGATGGGGACAATAGTCCTAATATAAATAGTGTACATAATACCTCATCTCAGAAATATAGGCAGATAAAGGTATATAAAAAACTTTTTTCTAAAGTCCTAGAATTGGGCTATTCAATGGCTAAATGTCTATTATCAATTTTTCTGGGAATGTGAGAATTTCGATAACAATGTTGGACTCTATGGCAATGCGTCTAAAACCAAATTCATAGGCTTCAACCAACAAGGCTCAATGCAAACTCTCAGGTGAATCAATAAAATCTATCGAATCTTTCACATTCCTAGGAAGCGAAATAAATTCTACTGAAAAGGATGTGAAAATTCGTATAGCTATTCGCCTTGAATAAAATGGATGTATACCAGACAACCTCAAAAGGAGATGCTTTCGAGCCATTGTAGAGATGCTTTAATGAGCCATTGTATATTGCTAAAACCTAGGATTACTGAGGAACTATACTTAAAATACTTAAAATCTCTTGGAGACAACATCCAACTAAATCGCAGCTCTATGGACCTATTCCTGATATTTCTACAATCTTACCTGAACGCAGAATGCACTTTGCAGGATACTGCTGGCCAGCGAAACAAGATCTTGCGAGTGATCTAATGCTCTGGACACCTAGCCATGGAACAAGATGAGTTGTTTGCCCGGCAACCATCTACATTGACCAGCAATGTTATGGCACAGAATGTCACCCTAATGACCTTTCGACCTTGACGCAGGACCGTGATGGTTGGCGTGATGAACTCATGGATGACCGAGCTAGCTCCACTAAATAAATAATATAATAATATAGCATAAGTATATCGAAAGAAAATGCCGTTAAATTAAGAAATAAATTATTTAAACAGGGTTAATGTTCTATATAAATAGTGATCCCGCGCATATTCGCGTTTCAACATTCAAGGCTTCATATTAGATCGAGGAGCAGCATAATAAAAAAATATGCAAATGTTGGATAGTTTTTACTCTTTATTTTCTCCCAAAATTAAAAGCAACTATACAAGCTTATAAAGGCTCATAATCAAACATAATAGACATTAATTGTTTCTTATATTTAAATAAATATATATATATATATATATATATATATATATATATATATATATATGAGGAATCTAAATGAAATAATAATAAAAAAACGAAAGAATATTAATCTACAACCCAGTGTGTCTGAAGATTTTAATTTTTCAATATTTTTTATTGTTCAATATATATATATATATATATGTATATATATATATATATATATATAATATATTTTTTTTTTTCATTATTCTCTAACACTCATTAACCCCATTGCGTTTTAGTGGCTTTATTGTCTTTCTTTGGGCGAAATGTTATATATATATATATATATATATATATATATATAATGGACGGATTTTTTCGTAGAGTCCGTATTCTCTAAGTTCGGATACTGAATGTAACATCCCAGCAAAGTTTTAAACCTTTTGTTTCGTAATTGTCTCCCTTTTCTTAATCTGCTATATATATATATATATATATATATATATATATATATATATATATATATATATATATATATATATAGATATATATTTCTCTGAAAAAGTGCCTTTGGCGAATTGATCTTAGCAAAACAACAGATTGATTTGGACTTAGGACGTTGATCTGCGATCTATGAATTATATTTGTTTTTCCCTGTTTGTCTGGAGTTTTTTTAAAAATCGGATACGTGAATGTTTGTGATGTGTCAGCAATTGAAAACAATTAAGAAACAGAAAGTAAATGACAATGCTATGCTCACTTTTTGTCTTCTTTTTCAGATCACAACCTTACTTAACGATCTTTACAGCACCTTTGATCATGTTATTGACAGCTTTCTATTTATAAATATATATATAAATATATATTTGATTTTCCTTTTTATTTAGAGTTTTGTTTGTTTTTTTTGCTATCATATTTGTTTTTACCATTGATAAAATATTTTTTTTTAAATTCATTTAAAAAATGCCTTTGATTTCGAAAAATATGTTTTTAGGAAAAACATATTTTGTTTAAAAAAGAAAGACTCAGATCATGTCAGAAAAACATGATTCCAAAAATGCAAATGGAAACAACATTTAAAAAGCGTTGAATCAGGTTCAATCTTTCAAGGATTTTTTAGATTTCTCGAATATGCAGACCTATAGATATAATTCCTTTTTTGTAAAATTAAAATTATTGTCTATTTTTTTGAATCCACTTATAAAAACATTTGACGTCAGATATATATATATATATATATATATATATGCCTGAAATGTTTGTGATGTGTCAGCAATTTTTTGAAAACAATTATCTGACGAAAAAGCATGACAATCCAAACTCATCAATCAACAAATCACTTTTGATCTTAAGCTTTTCTAATAAGATCGCGCATATAATATATAGATAATTATATATTATATATATATATATATATATATATTTTATATTTATATTTATATAAACACACAAATATATATATTTACAAAAAAGTAAAATATAAAAATGTCTTTTATATATATATATATATATATATATATATATATATATTTTTTTATATATATAGAGAGAGAGAGAGAGAGAGAGAGAGAGACATCTGTTTTTGTGTATAAGTATCATATTTGTTTTATCCACATACAAAGGAAACAGGTTGTAAAAAATAGAATTTTTTTCGTATATAACACGTCGTAAGGGGCAATTCGAGGCGGTGTAATGGTTAGCAAGCTGGTCTTGCTACGAACAGTTGCGATTGAGTAGTGAGTTCAATCCTCCCTGGGTGCCCCGTACTTTTGGCTTTG